ATCCGTCTTTTAGCTGACTCCGATAAGGATCGGTTAAACTACATAACTCATCATTAGGACATCATAAATTATACCCACCATTCATAATTTATCTACAGTCTTATACAAGTATTATTTCCATAATTTTTATTATGGCTATTTATATTGTGCGATTCGATTTTTCCAAAAGAATAATCTTTTTATTGAGCTATTGGTATATTAAAATGTATGCTTTATTTATTACGAAAATGATTTGTGTATGTGTGTGGTGCGGTGTGTGTGTGTGTGTGTGTTAAGTGTAAAGGTTTCATCATCAAACACATCATTTCTCGATCGATATAGCCATCGTGTTAATATTTAATTGTTTGTTCTGACTATCTCTCTCTCTACCTGTATGATTATAAATTCTTAAGAAATATTTGTTATCCGTATTTGTGTACATTCAACGTCAACGGTAATTTTTTCATCTTCAGTTGGTATTTTATTTGTAGCCAGAGGCGAGTTTGGGAATATAAGCACACGCAATGAATATTTTTGTCCAGATCAGAGTTACAGTTTTTCAAATTTGTCATATTTATTTTGATTTCAAGATGCTACAGTCATTTCTCAGCATTTATTTACTTTACATGGAGTGTTTATATATAAAAAGGTAGAATAAGTCGAAAATGTTTTGTCAACTTTCAATAAAAACTCTAATATCCCTTGCTACAAATTTTGTACCTCTGTGATCTTCTTAAAAGTTTTGTATTTGCTGGAAATGAAGAAGATGAGTTGATATAATGATGATGATGATGAAAAGATGATGAGGTTACTGAAGATGAAGAAGAAGAAGAAGATGAGTTAATGAAGAAGATGAGTTGATATAATGATGATGATGATGAAAAGATGATGAGGTTACTGAAGATGACGATGTCACAACTGCTGACGATGATGACACAGATGAAGGTGATGGAGTAGTTGAGATTGATTAGAGCGATGGAGATGCAGCAGCCGGTGATGATATGGTGACGGAAACGATGAAAATAATGGAAAAACGTATAATATAATGGATGATTGGATAATACATAAAATGTTAGTCTTTCTTGGAGAGCAAAAATTGCAAATGTAATTGATATAAAATTGCTGCTAAAATATAAACATTTAAACGGTTTTAACAAATTAACTGGATTATAAATACGAAATTTGTATTGTAATACATAGACTCACTTCTGATCTATAAAGAAACAGTTAACAACGGATATATTACTAATTAAATTATTAAATAAATAATCTTTAACACAATTTATTTGAATTATTTAAGTTTTTTTTCATGAAAACTTTTCCTCAAATATATTTTGACTTCAATAAAACATAAAAAAAAACAATTCATCCAAAGACTGACGGTAAACGAGTGCTTCAATTTTACTAAATAACAATGGCTTAAGTAGCTTTTTCATATAGAAGTGTGTGCGAGTGTGTGTGTGTGCAAATGTACATGTATGTTTGTATAAATGTGTGTGTTGTATGTATGTGTATGTATGTATGTATAAATGAATGTATGTATGTATATGTATATATATATATATATATATATATATATATATATATATGTATATATGTATGTTGTGTATGTATGTTATGTATGTATGAATGTATGTATCCTTCTATTTGTTTATGTACTCGTGTGTATGTTTTTGTCTGTACGTAGCACCATGTTGTATTATTTGATCATCGTAAAATACAGGTAGACCGGAAGGCAGAGCAGGGCAGGTTTTTGGAAGTGAGGGCACCGAAATAGCTAGCGAACTTTCTTCAAAGCGTAGCACGCAATTTCGTGCCAATTTTTCCATCTACAACGGTGTTTTAACGTACGAAAGACTCCGTTTTAATTTATAAAAGATAATTAAACAATAAACGCTGACTAACTTCTGAAAAAATTTACAACAAAATTGTTGTTGGTTGTTTGTAAGGGGAGAGAGCCATCTGCCTAAATTCACCACAACAACTTTAAAAATACTTCATTCACTCGTCAATCTAAAAATGGATTTAGATAAAAAGCAAACAAAAATTATTGTATTTGAAGAGATAAAGAGAGAGAGGAGAAAGAGAGAGAGAGAGAGAGAGAGAGAGAGAGAATAAGATAGATAAAAACATATGTAGTGCTTGAAGTTGCAGTAGCGGCAGCAGCAGCAGTAGTAGTTGTAGTGGCACTAATATTAAAAAATTTTCTAATAATTGCATAAAAGGTAATACAGGCGACGATAGTAATGCATCGTTTTGCACGCACTTCTCCATCCTTATAACAATAACTGTATCCAACAAAAACAACCACCCCCACCACGATGATGATGAGGAGGATGGCAACAATTATGATTACGGTTCGAAAAAGTTATGATTATGATTATTATTATAATAATGACAGTTATTAATAGGTGAATATGATGAAGATATGGGGAAATATGATTTTGATAGTTACTCCAGAAATGATGAGGATGGCGACAATTATGATGGTGAAATATATTTAAGGTGAAAATATGGGGGAATATGATTATGATGGTTTTTATCAACTGGTTTTGGCTGGATGACGACGATAAAAATGATTAGAGTACAACAGTGACGTTGATTTCGAAGATGATGTAGATGATGACAATGATGGTGTGATGATAATATGATATGATCTAGTATGATATGATACGATGATATTATGATATGATATGATATTATACAATACGATACGGAATTATACGGTATAATATGATATGATATGGCTTATGATATGGTTTTAATGATTATTGCTCTTACGGTGATTGCTATACTGATAAATGATGATATGACAACAGATTTTCAAGACGGTAAAATGTTAAATAACTAATTCAATTATCATCAATCAGTAGTAACTTGCGTTGAAAAATTCAATGAATTCAAATTTTCATACTAACTTGACAAACATAAGGGCGATAATGGTTGCCATTATGATGATTATTATTAAGATGGTGACGCTGATTTTTCATCCAATACTTCAAGGCATTATAACAATGACTACGGTGAATATGATAGAAAATATTTGTTGATTTGATCTAAATGTATGTTTATTTTACGCAGACCTTATTTTAACTCTTACCTTTCCATTCAATCTTTCTTTCTCTCCTTTTCACCTCCTTTTCTCTAATTTTCTCTCTTTGTTTCATTTTTTTCTTCTGTCGCTCTAAAATTTTTCTATTACTTTCAAACACGCATCATGGACATCACTATTTTTTTTTTTTATTAGTCTTTATTATTGCAGCTCTGACATACGCAGAGCCACTTACAATGTTACTGATATATCATCTATATATCTTTATTATGTTCTTCATATCTTCAACCAATGATATGAAGCAGCCATCTTCACCACAAAGGCTGTTTGTTTATCTTTTTCACACTACGTACACATGGATTTATGTGCACGCGCAAGCACCGCATCATATACGCTGAGTATATGATAGCCATTGAAATGTTTGACTCACTGCGCATTCGAACCACTGAGTCATCTCGCCGGCCAGCATGCGACAACTTACGTCGTCTACCCATTAACCAACCCCGAAAGGATGGACGGCTGGGTTGACCGGGAGTCGGCTACCCGGATGAACGTGTAGAAACTGCAGAATTCGAACCCGGGTCGTGGAAGTGGTAGACAGACACGCTAACCACTCGGCCACGAGACCCCTTAAAACCCCTATTGAAAATAAAACAAAAAATCAAAGTTAAATATTAATTTTTTTACTAATTCATTAATTTGTTATAAATTATTAAAATTTGGGTGAAATGATAATTCGAAAATCGTTGAAAAGTTTAAAAAAACATTTTTGAGTGAAAAAACTACTGAAATAACTTTCTTACAGTCAGCAGATAACTAATTAAAAATCTTTCAAAAGAGGACACTGAAGTTTACGATTGTTTGGCTGTTTTTATTTAATAGTTAACAATCGGAAGAAACAAAAATGATATAAAGATAAAGAATGTTGAGCTGGTCTACGGTTAATTTATGTTACCTAATGGAAATATAATTGTCGGTGAATATTTTTGGTTTGCAGCTTTTATTTGTTTATCATTATTTTTATTTTCTTAGTTATCTTAGTGCTATTATAGAGTTATTAATTTGGCAAAACAATTTTTATTAAAATTATACGTTCACTCGTTATTTTTACGTAATTGCTAACACTGGCCAAAACTGTCAAATATCTTTAATCTATGTATGAATGGAGGTTTCTGGTGTGTATGTTTAGAAGAGAAGAGAATAGGGAAACTTATTATTTAAATGTTCAACATCAGCGTGAAGTTGATTGAATTGCTTTTGAAAAATTGCTTTTGAAAAAATGGTTTTCTAAAAAAGTTGGCAAGGACAACTATTTGAATCGAATTAAACCCGTGGTTTTAAAAGCAAATACTCAATGTTAAAGTTATATTCGAGGCCTGCTTGACTCTTAACAAAATGGTGAAACTTTCCATTGTACCCATTAACAGAGCAAAGTTTGATTAACTATAGTTTCATTTTGAAATATTTTTTTTTAGAAATTTTTGTTTAAGTACTCAAAGTATTTTACGTATAAGTATTTTAAGTTTTTCAAGTATTGCCTTACTCAACTGTAAGTATTTGTTATGAGTATTACTTTACATGGTTATTAGTAACATTAAATAACATTTTACTTTACTAAAAATAACTCAAGTCTTATTTTACTCTATTATAAGTGTTTTAAGTAAATTTAATTTTCAAAATGATTTTCGTTAATCATTTCTCCAACCCTAGCGTGTCTTTTGTGTTATTTTTATTGTCACCATATGTTCTATTGTTGTTATTTTTGGTATTTTCATTCGTTATTGTTTGTATTATTATCATTCTCTGTAATTAATTTTTGTAATTTATTGTTTCTCTTATGATTTTATTTATTTCTTCTTCTTCTTCTTCTTTTTTCTTCTTCTTTTTCTTCATGTTGTTGCTATTGTTATTATTATTGTTATTATTATTGTTATTATTATTTTTTTCGTTCTTATTTCTTCTATTTCATTCAGTCATTCTTGCTCGCAATGCAATCAGAAGATCGATGCCAGGCCCACAGACATCTTCTGTTTTGTTGCCTACACGACATATCTGGCCTTTAATGTCATATTTGCGTTGTTTTTATTGTTATTGATGTAGTTTCGTTGTTGTTGTTGTTTTTGATGTGTTGTTTAAGTGTGTGCGTGAGTGTGTATGTGTGTGTTTGTGTGTGTGTCTTTGTTATGAATATTTATTTATTGTCAGACATTTCAATAAATAAATTTGTTATGTTCTTTGATGTCATGCATAGTTGTGATGTTTGCCGGTGTTAATGTTTTTGAGGTTGTTGATGTTGTTGTTGTTGTGTTATTTTAGTTAATGTTACTGACATGAATATTATTGTCTGGTATTCAAGTGAATTTTCTTTCGCCTAACGACTTTGATTCGTTGTTTTTTATGTTTCAATAATTTTTACTTCTTTTGTTGTTGATGACATTGATGTCTTTCACTGCTGTTCTGTTGATGTGATTGAGCTGTTCTAATGTAATTGTTGTTTTTGGTGGTTTTGTTGCTGCTTGTTAATCTGTTGTTGTTGTTAAACAATTTGTTTATATGTTATCATATTTTGAATCGTTGTTATAATATGATGTACGCTGTTGGTGAATGTTGTAGTGTAGGGTGAGAGTGAGTTTGAAGTTGCAAACATGTGCATAGTCAATGTGACAATTATCTTCATTGCTTTGCCAGCGCTGTCACCATCTTCTGTATGAAGATGTCCGCAATGTATATGCATTTGCACAATTTACTGAGAGAGAAAGAGAGAGAGAAAGAGAAAGAGAGAGAGAAAAAAAGAAAGAGATAGAATAGAGAGAAAGCGAGAGAGCATAAATACATTAAATTCAGAGAGAAAAAACGATAAACAAAAGAGAAAAAGAGGAAAGGATGAGGAAAAGAATAAAAAAAGCGAGCAATAGAGAGAGCAAGAAAGAGAGAGAGAAAGAGAGAGAGAAAGAGAGAGAAAGAGAGAAAAGAGAAAGAGAGAGAAAGAGAGAGAGAGAGAGAAAGAGAGAGAAAGAGAGAGAAAAAGAGAGAGAGAGAGTGATATTTAGTTTATACCTTGGTATCTATTTATAACTACATAGCTATCAACATTGATATCCGAAGCAACAACAACAACATAATAATAATAATGGTAATAATAATTCAAGAATATACAAATCTCTACTTGAAACTACTTATTAATAATAATAATGGAAATAATGGAAATAATACCGCGCCGACGATATCTGCTGAAGAGTTTGTGAATTTATTTTTATTTGCTTAAACTCAAACGAGTACACCCCAACTATATCAACAGTCATTTTGTCGTCGATGTTGTTGTTGCTGATAATGTCGTTGTTAGTTGTTGTTGTGTTGTTTGTTTTTGTAGGTTCTTGATAATTGTGTTTTGTATTTTGTTGTTGTTGTTTGTTGCTTGATGCTGGTTGATTTTGTTGTGAATTTTGATCTTTGTTGGACATTTTTGATTGTGGAATAGATGATGTTGTTTGTTGTTGTGGCTGGCTGTAGTTGAATGTAGTGTTTAGATAATGTTTGTTGTTGTTAAATCTTGTTAGTTGATGTTGCTGTTGTTGTTATTTTTGTTTTCATTTGATGTTGTTGTTGTTGTTATCTGTTGTTTTTGTTGTTGTTGTTATCTGTTGTTATCTGTTGTTGTTGTTGTTATCTGTTGTTGTTGTTGCTGTTGTTGTTACGTACATTACATTCATTTGTACGTGTGTAGTGTTTTAATTTTCAAGAATCACAGCAACACGTACATTCCATTTCTAGAGCGGTGAAATAAAATTTTTATTGTTCACTTTTTCTGTCCATAATATTTTTTTTAATTCTGTTTTAATTTTTAAGATAAAAGTTGAAACTGTAGAACAAAAAAAAATTGGTTGAAAAAATGGCAACCAAAGTATTTACATCTAAATAGTTATGAAATTTATTTGTAACAACAACAGTACAACATACAATGTAGCCACAACAACATTAACCACTACACAACATTAACAGCAACAACAACAACAACAGCAACAACCACATCTACAAGAGATTGATAATCTGAATACATCAATAACAAAAACATTAAAAATACCTCAATAACATCAGTAACAACAACTTAAACATTAACAAAAACATCAGCAACAACATTAACAACAACAACATCAACAACAACAACATCAACTTGAAAAACACTCGACATGACAGTAACAACAGTTGAATATCAACAATGAAATGTATACTTACTGTTATGTATATTGCGCCTGGAAAAAGCAATGCATATTTATCCATGTCCTTTTGCCTTGGTTTTATTTTTTTCCTCAAGATTTTTTTCTCGTTCTATCTTTATAGTAGTTTTTTTATTCTTTTTCTGCAAACCAAAATACAAACATCAAAATTTTTTTGTTTCAAAAATTCAATTTCATCCGCGTATGCTTAGCATTACCAAAACGAGTAAACCTCTCATTTTTATCACTCTTTTTCTCTCTTTCCCTTTCTCTCTTACTTTCTTTCTATCTCTCTTACTCTCTTTTGATCTTGCTTTCTTTTACTTTCTTGTTTTCAATCATTCTTCATTTAATCTTCTTTTATATAAGTCGGCGTATGTACGTACGTGTATGCAATGAGTCATATACGTTTTTAAAATTTTGTAAAATTGAAAAATTATGCATGCACGCACACACACACATTTCGATTCTTTTCTTTTTTGCTTCAATTATTTTTATTTCTGGGGTGTTTCTGTTCTTCCCTAATTTTGCACTGTTTCTTTGTTTTTTACTTTTTTTTTCTTTTTGTGTTTCTCTCTCTCTCTCTCTCTCCCCCACTCTCTCTCTCATTTTTTCTTTCAGTACTCCATATAATTTGCATAGAAAAACGATAGACAGAATGGAGGAAGAAAAAAAAAAGAAATTAATATCGATCAAGAATAAATTTGCTCGTTACCATCTCTGTAGCGCAAGAATCAGCCACAAATCATCAACACAAGGACAAATTGGTAACAACAACAACAACAACAACAAAAACAACAACAGCAACAACAAAAACAGCAACAACGCCATTGTCATCGTAATCCTTTCTCACCTCTTCCTCTTCATCCTCCTCCTCCTCATCATCATCGTCATCATCATCAACGTCAGCGTCATCAACAACAGCAGCATTAACTACATCAACAAAAATTAAAATCATTAATAATAATAATAACACAAAGACAACAACAACGATGATGGCATACATTAGCGTACATACAAAGAAAGCAATCACATTAATAAAATAAAAAAAAACAACAACAACAATAACAATAACAAGAATAATAACAATAAAATCAATAGTCTGGGATAAGGTATTAGTAGTAGTAGTAGTAATAACAAGGAACGATCGGATCACATGTGACGCTAGGCAGGCTAGATTTACATGCAAACATATTTACTACCTCCAGTGACGATGCTACATAGACGTACACCCATACACATACACACACATAAACATACAAACACATTCGTAAGTACATGTACACGTATACACATGCATTTGCACACATACTCTCTTATATACCAATAAGCGTATGTAGAAACATTTATATATACAAAATTTTAGATGCACACCCACAAACACAGAAGAGAGAGAGAAAAAAAATAAAAAGAGAGGGAGAGAGAGAGAGAAAGAGAAGGAAAAGAGAGGGGAAAAAGAGAAAATGAAATATGAGTGAGGGAGAGAATGGAATTGTGAACGATTGGAAATATAATGTTCGAGCTCGAAATACAAAGACGGATGGATGAAGGAATGAAGAAGTTATTAAAAAATCAAAACGAATAAAATCTCAGAAATTCTAAACATTCTAAAATCAAAAATAAATTTCACGTGCGAAGAAATGAAAATGTAGAGTAACAATTAGGCAAAAACATGTGAAAACATAGAAATAATAAATGTACATAGAATTGATGAAAGTATGGAAAGAAATGTAACACTTTCGATGTGCAAATGCAGACCATAACACCGTCGTGAAGGCAAAAGTCGAAAGAGTACAATGTGCAACATTATGTGCTTACATCTTTCTAATGGCCGTTGTTGTTGTTGGTGGTGGTGCTATTGTTGCAGTTTTTGCTGTAGGATTTGTTTGGTTTTGATATTGTTTGGGGCCGTTCAAGTACTGTCCAACGCTCCGGGTTTGAGATTGAGTTTTAGGGTATTTTTAGTAGGGTGGGAGGTTTGGCATTTTTAACGAGGAGACATTCAGAAAAGTTGATTTTTGTGTTGCGTAATATTCAAACGACTCTTTGTTGTTAATTTTGTTGTTATTTTTATTGTTATCTTTGTTGATCTCTTTGTCGTTGTTGTTGTATTTGTTGGTGAGGTTGTTACGTAAGCTTTCGTTGTTAACGATGTAATGTTCTTGTTGTTGCGCTGTTTGTTAGCGTTGCAGGTTTAGGTTTTTTGATGAGATTGTTGAGCATTTTGTTGTTGTCCATGATGGTGTTAGAAATATTGACTCAGCCGTTGTTGTTGTTGTTGTTGTTTATGTTGATTCTCTTGCAGATGTTGTTTTTATTATTATTGATGATAATTTTGTGGCCGCTCAAATCGATTTTATTGAGACTGCTGATTCGCATTTTCTTGTCGTCGTCGTCGCTGACGTTTGGGGGTTGTTGCTGCTGCTGTTGCTGCTGCTGCTGCTGTTGTGGCAGACGTTGTTGTTGTTGTTGTTATTGTTGCTGTTGTATTTGATATTGTCGTTCTTGTTGAAGATGCTGTTGTTGATGTTGTTGTTATTATCGTTGATGCTGTAATTAGTGATATTTTTATTCATGTTTTGTGGAAGACGTCATTAGTATTGCTATTATTATTGTTATTTTTTGTTATTTTTTTGCCGTAACTATTTTACTGTTGATGCATTTGTCGTTTGTGTCATCTGTTACATTTCACTTACACACATTTGTTTGATATTTTGCATTCGTTTTTTTACCTAAGTGTGCTTCTTGCAGTTTTATTTTTATTTTATTGATAATTCCTCGGAACATTTTCCAAGTATGGTTCCGTTTTTCCATATTAGTAGTAGTAATATTAGTAATTAGTATAGTTGTTAAACTATATATATATATATATATATATATGTATATATATATGTATATATATATATAATTAAGTTTTGTTCTTTAATTGTCATTGTGTTTAAATATTTATTTAAACAAATTGTTCACAAAAATTATTTCATGTTATTTGCGACAAAATTTTGATGATGATGATGGTGGTTATTCTCATTAATATTATTATTATTATTAATATTATTGATATTAATATTATTATTATTATTATTGTTTTTGTTATTATTATTATCTTAATGTGTGGTTGTTGTTTTTTTTATTGCTGCGTTATTGTTGTGCCGTATTTTTAATGTTGATTGTATGAAGTTACAGCGCCGAAGTCTTCCAAATCACCAATAAAATGATGTCTTTTTACCACCACCATCATCTTTTTCATCATCATCATCACTACCACCATCATCATCATCATCATCAATACCATCACCATCATCATCCTCTTCATCATCACTAAAACCATCATCTTTATCATCATTATTCTTTTTCTCATCATCGCTGACGTCACCATCGTCATCATCATCGTCATCATCATTGTTGTTGTTGTTATCATCTTCATCGCTATCATATCGTAATAAATAATTAAATAAATGATAATACTAATATGATGATGATGGCGTAACTTATTTTTATTACACAAGAGAATCTTTGTCATTGCAGTTTTTTCTAATAAGTTAGGCTAGAAGTCCTGTCAGAAAGTGTACAGTACACGTACCACACAAACACGTACAAATACACAAACATACACAAATACAGACACATGAAATACAAATAGATACATATACAAGTATGCATACACATGCACTTATAAAAACACGCACAGACAGACAGACAAACATAGAAATGCCAAATTTTTGTATTCTATTTTGTGGTGTTTGCCCTAGTATTTTATCCTTCCCTCTTTCAAAATTATTTCAAATGTTTTAACTAATCCAGTTAAAATTTTCTTTGCAAAACTTGCATGGTATCTTGTAGATGATGTCATTAAATTGGATGATGTCTTTTTTCCAAAGCGAACCTCAACACCTGGAAGGAAAATCTTGGAGGAAAATAATTTTCCATCTGTATGGATGGCAGCTACTTTTCACGAAACTTGACACAGTCATCGAAACATTGCAGTTGTTGGTACTTTCTTGTGCGATAGTTTAAGTTTAGTTTAGAAAATATTGCAAACTTCTCTCTCGTTAAATGTTCTCTTCTTTAGTCAACTTTAGAGAAATTAGAATTTTCAAATTATCAATTTTTGTAAAAAGCGCTGAAAACCAATCCTAATGCTATTTATATTACAAATATTAATGATTATTAATATATAGAAATAAATAATACACACATGCATTTTATTTACATACAACAATATGCGTGCTACATGATATTCATCCGTATTCACCCAAGAATATTTCCAATGATCGCATTGGTCACATATTAAACGCTCTAGTGCATTTATATATTTATTTGAAACTGTATATATATATATATATATATATATATACAATGCTGGTCTGTTTATATGTGCATGTGCCTGCTTTATGTGTGTGTGTGCGTCTATGCAATTGTGTGTACGTGTAAATATGTGTGCGTGCATGTACACGTGCGTGTACCCGTGCGCGTATGAGAACGTGTGCGTATCAGCAATACATCGGTATGTCTTCTTATCGCATTCAGACCTGTAATTGAAATGCTCCCCGCTGCAAGAAACTGTGTGTGTGTGTGTGTGTGTGTTCATAGTGTATGTGTTTTTTTTGTTTGTGTTTATTTTGTATGTGTTTGTTTCGTATGTGTTTGTATTGTATGTGTTTGTTTTTTGTTTGTTTGCTTATGTGTTTGTAATGTGTTCTAACTTTTTGTGTTGTAGTTGTTTACATTGTAGTTGTTTATATTGTATGTGTTTGTGTTGAATGTTTGCACTTTGCATTTGCACGTATTGTATGCGTTTTTACTATTCTTCTCAACTATTTACCAAAGATATCAACAATGTAGGCACAGAGCACATTCGAATTTGCGGGTAACATCGCCCCTCAAACATTGCGTGTGGCAGGCAGAACTATGTTAGCATTTGAACCCACTCCTCCTGCACTGCAACAACTTAATCAGGCACCTCAACCATCCTTCCAGTCTTATCTTTAATTTTTTTCTTTTTTGCCCACGTGCGTATTAACTATTCTGTATAACTTATCTATACACTATACAAACGTGTGTGCGTGCGTGCGTGTGTGTGCGTGTGTATGTGTGTGTGTGTGTTAGCGGTTTCCCTTTTTATATGCAAATTTTATGACAGCAAGCACACATCACATATATGAATTGGGGCATAATTATAAATAAATGACGAACGAACGAACTAATGAATGTATGAACGAATGAACAAATGAATGAACGAATGATAAAATGAGAAATAAAATTATTACGCATAAGAAGAATAATGATATAAAAGTAATGAATTTAAACAACATTGAATAAATGAAATATTGTTTAATATAAATTGAGATAAAAAAAAATAATGACTGATTAGAGGACAAATAGCAGGAATGAAAGAGAAAAAATGAATGATTGATTGATTGATTGACTGATTGATTGATTGATTTAGTTTAAATGTTTAAATTCTGTTTTTACAACAACAACTACTACTACTGCCACTACTACTACTACTACTATTATTATTACTACTACTACCACTAGCCATAGTAATGATAATACTTGTAATATCGAAAGTTACTCTAATGATAGTAATAAAGATCTCACGTGACCGTTACTTTTTATCGGCACCTCAATGTCAACATCATCATCGCCATCGTCATCATCGTCGTTGTCTTCATCATTATCATTATGACTTTTTTGCGTCATCGTCTTCATCCCTATCACTTTCATCATCATTATCATCATGTCTTCTTCATCATCATCGTCATCGTCGTCATCTTCATTACCATTATTTTCATCCATATCACCATAGTCGTCGTCATCGTCAGCTTCATTTATAATTTATTGAAGGATACCTTATTAATCGTACTAGCGTGACGTCATCTCTGACGACATCTACTCGCATGAATATTAATGACCAGTGATATATTATCATATTCATCTTGTCCTCATGAATATTAATGAATTGAAATACATTATCGTGCCACACATGCGCGCACACATGCACAGGCACACATACATACAAACAAACAAACATACGTACGTGTATGCTTTCGTTTAACCGTATAGGAAA